TATCAAAGTTTTAGTTTTAGTACAACTAGGCGCTCGGCTTTCTTCATTTGCTCGTCGCGCTTGTTCTACATCTCACGAAAACTACAAAATTCGCTGACCAGCTGCCCAAATCTAGGTGCACGTGAAAGTTGTTTTAACGTCATCGTCGTTACGACGTTACAGGACCCGGTTAACGCAAACGCGTTACGTTTCCCCAGCTGCCAAAAAATTAACGTCTTACGTTAACGTTAAAATAACGTTAACGAAAACGTCGTAACGTCGTTACCCGTTAAATTAACGTTAACAACCCTGGCGACGACGCGATCTGTCCCGTCCAAACACGGCACGAGATTCGCTTGAACAACCAACTCGTGTGGCTGTCTCTCTTGCTCTGCACCCAGAAGATTCCTTGAAATTAACCTTGAATCAACGAAATCGACCTAAAATAAACATATTGAATTTGTTATGCCCTCGGTTATGCCTATCATTAGGTAAAAATCTTCCTTACTTTGAAGAGAAGTTTTTAATTTGTAGAAAAAACTCAATGATTTTTTGTCACTAAACCTCGCCCTAAACCAAAGAAATTTCTTCGGCATAAAAGCAAAATTTCATCATGTTTTTTCAAGGAAACAATTTGTTGGGTTAACCCGAAGGTGAAAGTTTTCCGTTTTGATAAAGAAAGACTGCCGATTGTCGTCCCAATTTAGAGAAGCGGATTGACCCTTTATAACGACTTGTGTTTTTTTTCCTCTCTGGTTTCATCGCTCTAAATCGGGTTTTGTGTTTTGTTTCATCCGGGGAGCGCAGGATCGCTGACGGACAACGAGCAGTACCCGTACCGGCAGTTCGCGGGCAACGTGCAGGTGATGCGGGCCGTGTCCTCGGACATGGTGCTGACGTTCTGCTCGCCGCAGACGCACCACTACTCGATGATCATGTCGCGCAACAAGACCATGAGCGACCAGCAGCTGCACTCGCTCAACAAGATGCTGGCGGACCGCGGGCTGCTGCTCGCCAACACCCGGGTGGCGTGCCGGGGCGGCGCGCAGGCCTCGGCCGCCAGCCTGGGCGCCAGCGCGCTGCTCGGCCTCGCCGCCGTCGTGCTCCTGCTCCGGAGGGACCGGGACCTGCTCACGTAGGGCCTCGGACCAGGGCGCCGCGGAGGCCTCGCGTATGGCCGCCCCGGACCCGGACGTCGGACGCCGCGCGGCCTCTTCTTTCGGCCTCCGCTCCGACTTCAGAGGCCCGGCTCGGCCCGTGAAGACTTCGCTGCCGAGACCTCTCAAACCTTCTGAAGCCTCGAACATATGCCCGGCCGTCGTCTGTGGTGCATGTCACAAGATGCAAAAGACTTTTATTTTATTTTTTATTATTTTTTTGTTGAGGAAGTTGTACGTGATCAACGCTAAGTGAGTGTGTCGAGCACGAGCCGTGCGTATCTGTGTTTTCTGTTGAAACGATATGCTGACGATTCCGTCCTTGTGAAAGCGATGAAGACATGTTGTGCCAATGTGAAGTGGGTGACAGGAAGGTGTCGTCGACGACAGCAAAGACTAAAAAATAATGTCAGTGCGACCTTTTTTTATTCGACGCCGAAACCGAACGAATGCTCTTGTCAACTCAAATAACGGAATCCTTTTTGTATTTAGAATAGGATAAGTGGGAACCAAAAATTAATTGACAGGATTCTGTATTTATGAAACATGGGAAGCCAAAGATTAAATGTCGCGGTAAAACGGATTTATGTGACCCAAACTAAGGGATTGTCCAGAAAGTACGTTTTCTTAGAATCATTCAACAAAATACGGGAGATCGTCGCCTGTGGTACTCAAGGTAGGCACCCCCGCAGTACGCTCGTGCAGTGAAGCCAAGATGTTGCCTGCCTATCAGGCGCTATGAGAGCCTCCAGAGTCTGAACTCGGCAGGTTCCAGGTTCGTAACGCTTTAGGCAAATGAGGGACGTACTTTCTGGGTGATCCCTAAATGCGGAAACATCCTTCGCCAAAATAGCCGAGTTTACGATCAATATATTTGTACCTTTGTATATTCCGACTATTATTTATTTCTCGTCTTTAATTCTACTTTAAGTGGTGAAGTGTGAGTCAGACAATAAAACGAGAGGAAACCAACAACTAGAACGGCACGGTCTACCACTATCTCCCCCCCCCTCTTTTCTCAAGTTTCAAAAAATCTACATGCGCGATGACACGCGGAGGACGAGGAGGCGGCTCCACCCACGGACAACTCGTCATTGCCGCTACCGAAAGACACACACACTTACACACGCACTCACAAGCACACACACAAGCACACACACATGCAGGGTGGGCGGGGCCAGCAAGGGCAGGGGCACACCGCGTCACATCGTCACATTTCTCTCTCGCACACACACACACACACACACATCCACACGTACCCCTCACAAGCACAAGCCAGCAGCCGGCCGGCCGGCTTGGTCTGGGATGAGCAATAAGCTAAATTGTCGTCAATTAGTGAAGGAAGCCGGAGTGAGGAGAGGAAGAGCGCGGAGTGGGGGGCGGCGGCGTGTGTGTAGGAGGACAGAGCGGTGCAGGCGTACCGGCGTGGTCCACACACACACGAGCAACAAGGCGGAACGCAAATTGAAAGAATCTTTAATGAGTGGAAAAGGACTCAGCCGCCCCCCTAAGCTCGCGCTAGACGTGCTGCAGACAGACGGCGTGGGGGACAGCGGCGGCGGCTCCCCGCAGCACGACTGCCTCCCGCCCACACGACGGGCCCCGCTGCCACCGCCGCCCGGCAGACAGGCAGCCCATCGTGCTCGGCAGCGTGCGGGTGGCAGCCCAAAACTGCCACAACGACCTAGCAACTACCTGCACCTAAATTTTTTGGGGGAAAATAAAAATTGACGGTCAAGATATTACTTTAAATGACTTTACGTTGTCTGTTGAGATTACATTTTACGAAACATATGTGAATGCAGATTCGCACTTCCTAGTCCCGAAAGATTTATCCCAACTTCCTCACCTGTCTTAAGAGGTACCCGATTTTCCCCACTTCGTACAAGTTAACTTTGTTGGTGCTGTTCGCTGGGGGGATTAACCGCACGCGCGCGCTGCTGTTGTGCCAGCAAGATTTGTGATCGTTTGTGATCATTCGCTCCCTTGAGCAAATTGATTGCCTCTCTCTACTCACTTTGCCCCCCTTTCCCTATGTTTGTTTAGACTCGCGTTCGCGTGGTAATTTCCGTTTTTTCGCCCATAGAATGGCGCGTCAGACAGGCAGTGAGCCATCAGCGGCAGCCGCGATTATCGGGGCAGTGATCCATGGTACTGCGATGCGCACGGAAGTGATGGGGAGAGAGAAGAGGGAAGAGGGGGGGAGGGAGGGAGAAAGCAGAGAGTGGGAAGCTCGAGATCTCGAAACGTTCGACCAGTGATTTGACGCTGAGCCTATCCGATAACCTCGTGACACTGTTTACACTCCATTCCACCCTTTGAAAAAAATAAAGGAAAAAAACGGGGGAGAGGAAGGGTAGAGAAGGCGAGGGGGCGATCCGAGAAAGAAGGGGGAGGGGGGAAAGACGCTCATGCTAACAACAATTTGCAGAAGGGGAGAGTCGTGACGGCTGAAATGATTACCTACAGCAAAGGGATGGGTAGAGATTAAACAGAGAAGATAATGGGAAATAAATCAGGAATAACATAGATAGAAATACATTAAGAGACCGAGAGAGAGAGAGAGAGAGACGTGGAGAGGGGGTAGGAGGGGGGCGACAAGAATTGAGCGCGGTACCGCGAACCGGGCCGGACGGCGCGCGCGGTGCGCCAGTCCCAACTCTCGGCGGCCGGGTGCTGGTCGAGCTGATTACAAACTCACTTTGCGCCGAGTTTTCGAACCGCGCGAACCCCGTGAGCCGCGAGCCTTCGCGTCGTGCCGAGTCGTGCCGAGTCGTGCCGAGTCAAGCCGTGCCGAGCCGCGCGCCGCAGCAGCCCGGGTTTTCGCGTGCCGACGAGTCGCGGCGCCGAGGACTTCCCCCCTTTTTCGCGCGCATTTTCGCGTCCTCGCGTGCGCAGAGTGGTTTAGTTTTTCAGTTTACAGCGTTTTCGCACGCGTGTCGTGCGGTGCAGTCCGTGTTTGTAGTGCGTTCCGTGGAGCACCGCACACATCCGCTTTGGTTTTAGCGCCAAAATACATTTTGCAGTGTCGCGAGTGCAGTGTTTGTGCAGCAGCCGAGCTAGAGCACCGAGCGGCACCATGGGGGTCAGGAGTCTCGGTGAGTTCGATAGAGAGACAGGAGACGCACGCGTCCCGACGCTTTGCTTCCCGAACACAAAACAAAAAAATGAGAATACTATTGGTTAGAGTCCATCGAAACGCCTCGACACTCGTCAAGGACTGCCGGTGTATAGTATTACAGTTCGTTAGATATGGCGAGTGAAGGAATTCAAAGTGATGCGTTCGTACCAACGCCTCGCACTTGCCGGTATTCGTGCAGCGCGACTGCAGCGGCTGCAGCCCGGGGACGCCGAGTGCAAGACCCCGGCGGCCGCCGGAAGAGTTCGCAGGACTGCATCCAGCGAGTCCTTGGGGGAAAATTATGAAAAGACCGGCCGGCCGGGGTACAGGAGGGGGGAGGGGAGGGCAAGGGGAAGAGGGAAGGAGTCACAAGCGAAGAATCCCCCGCGCATTTAAGCAAATGAAGCCCTCTGTCCCTCCGCAGCGCGCGGTCCGCACCGGCCGACTGTTGTCCGGGACGTGGTCGTGGTCGCGTCCTGTCGAGCCGCTCGCTCGCCTGCCCATCCGGCGCGGTGGGCGTCCGCTCCGCTGGACGTGACCGCCGCCGCCGCCCCGCCGCCCCTGCCGGCGCGACACTTCGCGGCACCAACCACAAGTTCACCTTGGCTTTGGTGGGCCCCCCGCCCCTCTCTCTCCCTCTGCCCCTGCCCCTTCCCCCGGCCCCGCCAGTCCTGTGTGCTAGGCCTCCGCCGCGGTGGGTTCAGTTCAACCAGGCATGCCCAGGGGAACGGGTTTTTCCGGCCAAGAGGCAGCAGAAGTCTTCTTTCTGCGAGACGCGGAGGAGGAAGGAGTCGTCTCCGCACACGGCGCTGTGCCACAGGGCAGACAGAGACAGTCCGCGACGACGGCAGCAGAGCACGAGGACCTGCTGCTCTGATTTCGGGCAGTGATGAAAGATCTACCGTCCCCCCTACCCCTCTTTTTATTTCGCAGAGATTTTTATTTTCCGAGGGAAATGAGAGTGAGAGAGAAGGGAGAAGAGATGGGGAGATGTTTTCGTCTTCAGTCAGCCCCGGGTTTTGCCTGGCTGCTGCGCTCCGTGGCTGCCGCGCCGCCGGGGTGATGTGCCTCCATTTAAACGGCAGATAAGAGCCGGGGAGGCGCGTCCGCGGCGCGGCTGGCGGGAGTATATCCGCGCCGCGGGACGCGACGGGGACAGGCGCCCCCCGCGACGCGCCCCGCCGCGCCGATACCCCGCGAGCCGGGGATCACGCCTGCGGGGCGCGGAGTCTCTCCCGCCGGCGCGCCGTGGTGGCGGCGAGTGGCGAGCGTGACGGGCGTGACGGGCGTGACGAGCGTGACGGTTGTGACGAGCGTGACAGGCGTGACGAGAGTGGCGGATGTGACGAATGTGACGGGCGCGACGGGCGTGTAGAGCGTGACGAACGTAACGAGCGTCACGAGTGTGACGAGGGTGGCTTACATACCGCGGTATGTATAACTGACTTTGAGGAAAATGTGGCCCAGCCGCCCTTGGACAGCAGGGGCATTGCTCACGCCTCGCCCTGCTTGCCGACAACAACGGGGCCGAGCACCGATAGTGACGCCACTGATTCGTCACCGCGATAAGGGGAGCGGTCGCACCGAACGGCGGCGGCGACGAGGATTCCCCTCGAAGCCCGACGCACCCTCCTGCGCTCACTTAAAAGGACGCGCGGAGGGCGCGCGCGTATCAGAGTGGCGTGGTGTGTCGAGGGACCTAGTGCACAGACGGAACCCCGGGCGACGAACGGCGACACGTCGAGGACAGCGGCGGCAACGGCATCGCCAGATAAATAGGTAAAGCGGGTCGTTGTTAGCGGGTAGAGGTGGGTAGATGGTACACTGGCGCAACCGTATGGCGGGCTGTCATCGCGTAGTTTATGACGGCACCAATGAATTTTGTTTTTATTACTGTGAGAATTTAACAACGGCAAGGGTCTGTCAATAACGGTTTAGTGGGATGGGGCAGGACGAGACGAGGGTGAGACGGAGGCGCCTGGCGGTTAGGCAGCCCGCCCGCAGCCGTGCGCGCCGAGTCACTCTTTGCCTACCTCGCGGGCGCTCCCCGCCGCCCAGCCGCCGAGCAGCGGCCGCAGCGCAGCCTCCCGCATTCTGACGCGACGGCAACGGCACTGGCACTGAGCGCCGTCGACCATGTGCTCTAAGTTCGGCGCCGGTCTGGCGAAGCACCCCAAAGGTAGGAGAACAACGACTGCCCGGTTGCTCACAGACCCGCGGTTTATGTATAGAGAGGTGCAATGAAACGCGGAATTCCATTTTAAATTGGCAAAACGATGAAATTCTCCATCAATAATTCCAATTCCGTTCAAAGTTTTAATTTGATGATGAAATCAATCATGATAAAAAATACGATGTCGTCTAAAGCCTGGGGACGATCTCCCTTTCCTCTAGTTTCGCCAAATAAAATCTGGTTTCATCTGTGCGAATCCGTGACGACAGTCAGAGACTGGTGCGTGCAATCGACGTGTGCTCTGCGAGATGTGGAGTGGAGTGGGCGTCGCTGTTGCCGACTCATTTAAAAGATCGCGCGAGGTTGGTCAGGACCCTTGTTTGCAGCAACAATTATCGAAGTATTATCACTCACGCGATAACTTACAACGTCTGTTTTTACTTTTATTATTTTTTCCGAGCGGCGCGGCCAAGGAAAAGGCCTTAAAGATCGGAGGAGAAGGTCATCGGGTGTTCTAAACTCAAAACAAATACCAAGGAAAATCCGGGAAGTGTTCCCCTTTACCTGAAATTCGGCGCACATTTACCTTTCTAATCCGGCCTTGTTTATTTTTACCCTGCTCAAACGTGTAAGCTTGAACGTCTCGAGTTCACTTTGGCGCTCAATCCACTCTCAATTCAAAAACAT